GGCAGGCATGCATGCATGCATGCATGCACACACACAAACAGACAGACAGACAGGCAGGCAGGCAGGCAGGCAGGCAGGCATGCATGCATGCATGCATGCATGCATGCACACACACACACAAACAGACAGACAGACAGGCAGGCAGGCAGGCAGGCAGGCAGGCATGCATGCATGCATGCATGTATACATGTATATATGCATGCATGAACACCTGCACACAGGCATGCATCAGCACATGCCTTACTGCTAATCGATAGCATCGGACTAGAGATGCATTGCGGAATGACGGGCGGCGGACAAACTCGCGCATCGGAAGTTGAAACGGAAGAGCACCATGAGATCGCTGCCTCTGCATCGTCTAGCTCATTCCCGTTAGGCCGTTAGGTACCTTCTGCTGCCTTTCGACTCTTGAGGCGGCACAGTAGCCCCTAGTCCTCCAAGGAGACCTCACGATTGGCGTTTTGTGTGCCATGCCAGCCATGTCCAAACTCTCGGCCTTCGCCACGGGGGCGGCCGCGGTGACTGCAGCAACAGCCTTCGTGGGGGTGCCGCAGCCGGCTGCACAGCCGACTCTCCGTGGTGCAAAGCAGCAAAGGTCTGCCGGTGCTGGATCCGCCACCGCAGCGGGCCTTGGCCTTGGTGGCCTTGGCTTAGGCGTCGTGGGCTTGGCCTCCCTTGTGCGCCCGGCGGCTGCTCCACGAGTGGTGCGCTGCGCCTACGACGCCTCCAACGAGATCGGCGCCTGCGATCCGCTTTTGTTCTGGGACCCTGTCGGCTACTGCCAGGATGGTTGCACGAAGGAGGACTTCGACCGCCGCCGAGCTGTGGAGCTGAAGCACGGCAGGCTTTGTATGGTCGCCACGATTGGGATGGTGTGGCCGGATATCTTCGGCAAGTTTGATGGTTACTTGTCCCCATCCCAAAACCTGAAGTTTGCTGACGTGCCTTCGGGGATCGCTGCAGTGACGAAGGTTCCCTTGGAGGGCTGGTTGCAGATCCTGTTGGTGGCCGGCCTCATTGAGACTCAACTCTTGAAGGACCAGTCTTTTGGAGGATTCGGCTATGCAAAGTACGGTGCAGAGCCTGGCAACTTTGGTACCGGCTACTGGGGCAGGAAGATCCAGGACCCTGCCGAGCGCAAGCTGAAGCTGACCACCGAGCTGAACAACGGCAGGCTTGCGATGATTGCCATGTCCGGCATGCTGATCCAGAACGGCCTTACTGGCCAATCCCCCATCGAGCAGCTCACTGCCGGCCACATCTCGCCCTTCAACGACGGCCAGGGCTTCTTTGCTTTCGACCCTTCCGCGGAGCTTGGTGCCTGCCCTCCCCTGGGCTACTGGGATCCCTTCGGCATGATGGCTTTCCAGGATGAGGAGAAGTTCCGACGGAACCGTGAGCTGGAGTTGAAGCATGGCAGGATCTGCATGGTCGCGACGATCGGGATGATTGTGCCCGATTTGTTCGGCCGCTTCGGAGGCTACCTCTCACCCTCCGCGGACCTCAAGTTCTCGGATATCCCTTGCACCATTGAGGCCATCTACAAGGTCCCCACCTTCGGTTGGTTGCAGATCTTTGCGCTTGCAGGTGCCATTGAGGCTAAGAACCAGGCCTTCCCAGAGAACTATGGCTATCCTCCCTTCTGGGGACGAATCAACACCCTCGAGCCCGAGGAGAAGCAGAAGAAGCTGCTGGCTGAGATCAACAACGGCAGACTCGCCATGGTTGCCATGGCTGCCATTGTCGCACAGAACGGTGCCACGGGCCAGTCCCTGGTCGAGCAGTTCACCACGGGCAACCTGAACCCCTTCGTTGGTGGCTACGCGCAGCACACCTCGCTGGGCGACAGGCTGGAAATGCGAGCGGAGTTCGGTTCCGGAGCTGGCAAGTCCACGGCCATCCCTTGGGATCCAATCCCAGAGGGACTTAGCAACGACATTTTCAACAACACCTACGTGGGTGACGTGGGCTTCGACCCCGCAGGCTTTGCCAAGAACCAGCGCCTTCTTCCTTGGTACCGCGAGGCTGAGCTTGCCCACGGCCGTGTGTGCATGCTTGCCGTGCTGGGCTACACGGTGCAGACTTCCGGTGCCAAGTTCGAGCCATTCATCACCCGCTACCCAACGGACTCTGCGGACCCCCTTAAGGCCGCCACGCAGGTGCCAATCGTCGGATGGCTTCAGATCATCGTGGTCATCGCCCTGTCGGAGCTTTGGCGCTACGAGAACGTCATTAGCAAGTACTCCCAGGGAGTCCAGCCAGGTGACCTCGGCTGGAACCCCACCGCTCCCGTGAGCAGCCCACGCCCAAAGTGGTTCGGCCCCACCTTCACAGCTGCATACCAGCCAGAGGAGTGGAACAACATGAAGCTGCGAGAGATCAAACACTGCCGTTTGGCCATGGTGGGCTTCTTCTTCATGGTGCTCCGGAACGCATCCACCGGCGAGGGCCCGTCATTGCTCCCCAACTTGACGACGGCAGAGTTCCAGTCTTCCGTCGGCGACTTCATCCCAAGGGACATCTGAGAGGCATCCACAGAAGAGCGTTTATTTTTTCAGACTCCCCTGTACAGGAAGACAAGAGTCCCGTTGTGACGGGAGCGGTCGGACATCCTCAGAGAGGTCGAGTAAAAATCAGCAGCATTGTAAAGGGAAGGCGCTTGCTTACCAATGCTTGTGCCCGGAATAGCTTCTCAGAAAGCCCAAGCTCCAAAACTCTACCACATAAACATGACCACGGCTTTACGATTGCCACAGTTCTTATCAGCATCATGATGATGATGACGATGACGATGGCAATTGTGAATGATGATGATGATGATCATGATGGTGATGATGGTGATGATGGTGATGGCGACGATTATGTGATGGTGGTGGTGGTGGTGATGGTGATGATTTGGGTGATGGTCACGACGATGATGCCCCTGATCATGGTGATGATGATGATGACGATGATGGGTTTGACAATTTGTTTTTGTCTTTGTTCGTTAGTTGTAGTTGTAAATGTAGTAGTAGTAGTAGTAGTAGTAGTAGCAGTAGCAGTAGCAGCAGTAGTAGTAGTAGTAGTAGTAGGAGGAGGAGGAGGAGGACGAGGAGGAGGAGGAGGAGGAGTAGTCGTCGTCGTCGTAGT